CCATGTAGATGTATTGATGGGGTCTTTCCATTGCATCCAGTTGAAAAACCCTCTGTAGAAATAGATATAGTTTTGTAAGTGATACGGAAAAAGTGATTTAGGCCACTACAGTAAATCACTACTTAGAGTAATCAACATTGAATGTGTCTGGATATATGCCAACCTGTACATACTGGAATCTTTGCTCATTGACTCTGTCTGAGTTGAGATCAAAGGGCACTCTGTATAGCTGTTTCATGCGCAGTCTGTTGCGCTTGAGGACACGATCAACAGTAGAGAGGCTGACACTGTTGATACCCTCAAAATTTAAATGGTCCTCAATGATCTTCTGCTGAATTTCGCTCAGTTTAATGGCATTGTTCTCACGGACCATATCAACAATTAGGGTCTCTTGGTGTGGGGAGAACATACCTGTCCTCCCACCCCCATGTGGCAGTCTTTCAATTCTACAAAAAGAGAACATGGAGTTACAAAAAATATACATGGAATACTAGTCCTACAAACAGTTAGACCAACCCTCCATTACAATACTACAGTACATTGGTACAGTGATGTACTGAAACATATATTTACTTACAGTATACTGTGGTACAGTATATAGTATGTCATACAGTAATTTCTGTCAACATTTACATACTGTACTATAATGTCAAAAAAAGGTAATTACCTGTTCTCTTCTCTAAATCTTCGGATAATGGTGGACACAGTGAATCTACTGATGTTTGGTTGTACCCTTTGTCCAGCCTCCCTCATGCTCATACCATGGACAAGAACATGGTCAATCACAGTAGCTCTGATTTCATCAGATATTACTGTTCTTTGTCTTCGCTGACCACCTCGACCACCTCGACCTCCTCTCACACGAACTCTTCCTCTCAGATTTCTATCCATTGTAGGGCCTCACAAACCAGTGCTCTCTGAACTGGCTTACTGTATATGTTCCCTCACATCATTATCCACAAGTGTGATCAATTTTGAGTTGTTGTGTTCAAGTGGTGACACCTGTGCTCTAATTGTGTTTGACTTTTGTCACCTGTGCTCACCATTATGCAGCACGGGTGCATCACAATGAAAATGTGTTGGCAAGTTATGTCTAAACAGGTGAAAAGTGCTTATGGTTTTGCCAAAAGAGTGATTGATTTAATCAGTGGGTTCAGGCAACTGAGCATTTGGTTCAGACAATAGGGTTTAGTGTTTTAGCAATTGAGAAAAACTGTAACATACGTTTCCCATGCCAATAAAGCCCTTAAATTGAAATTGAATTGAGAGAGAGAGAGAGAGAGAGAGAGAGTCACCAACCAAGGAGGGCCTACAGCAGCACCTAGATCTTCTGCACAGATTCTGTCAGACCTGGGCCCTGACAGTAAATCTCAGTAAGACAAAAATAATGGTGTTCCAAAAAAGGTCCAGTTGCCAGGACCACAAATACAAATTCCATCTAGACACCGTTGCCCTAGAGCACACAAAAAACTATACATACCTCGGCCTAAACATCAGCGCCACAGGTAACTTCCACAAAGCTGTGAACGATCTGAGAGACAAGGCAAGAAGGGCCTTCTATGCCATCAAAATGAACATAAAATTTGACATACCAATTAGGATCTGGCTAAAAATACTTGAATCAGTTATAGAACCCATTGCCCTTTATGGTTCTGAGGTCTGGGGTCCGCTCACCAACCAAGAATTCACAAAATGGGACAAACACCAAATTGAGACTCTGCATGCAGAATTCTGCAAAAACATCCTCCGTGTACAACGTAAAACACCAAATAATGCATGCAGAGCAGAATTAGGCCAATACCCGCTAATTATCCAAATCCAGAAAAGAGCCGTTAAATTCTATAACCACTTAAAAGGAAGCGATTCCCAAACCTTCCATAACAAAGCCATCACCTACAGAGAGATGAACTTGGAGAAGAGTCCCCTAAGTAAGCTTGTCCTGGGGCTCTGTTCACAAACACAAACAGACCCCACACAGCCCCAGGACAACAACAACAACAACACAACTAGACCCAACCAAATCATGAGAAAACAAAAAGAGAATTACTTGACACATTGGAAAGAACAAACAAAAAAACAGAGCAAACTAGAATGCTATTTGGCCCTAAACAGAGAGTACACAGTGGCAGAATACTTGACCACTGTGACTGACCCAAACTTAAGGAAAGCTTTGACTATGTACAGACTCAGTGAGCATAGCCTTGCTATTGAGAAAGGCCGCCGTAGGCAGACCTGGCTCTCAAGAGAAGACAGGCTATGTGCACACTGCCCACAAAATGAGGTGGAAACTGAGCTGCACTTCCTAACCTCCTGCCAAATGTATGACCATAATAGAGACACATATTTCCCTCAGATTACAGCGATCCACAAAGAATTCGAAAACAAACCCAATTTTGATAAACTCCCTTATCTACTGGGTGAAAAACCACAGTGTGCCATCACAGCTGCAAGATTTGTGACCTGTTGCCACAAGAAAAGGGCAACCAGTGAAGAACAAACACCATTGTAAATACAACCCATATTTATGTTTATTTATTTTCCCATTTGTACTTTAACTATTTGCACATTGTTACAACACTGTATATATACATAATATGACATTTGAAATGTCTTTATTCTTTTGAAACTTCTGAGTGTAATGTTTACTGTTAATATTTATTGTTTATTTCACTTTTGTTTACTATCTACTTCACTTGCTTTGGCAATGTTAACACACGTTTCCCATGCCAATAAAGCCCTTAAATTGAATTAAATTGAATTGAATTGAGAGAGAGAGAGAGAGAGAGAGAGAGAGAGAGAGAGAGAGAGAGAGAGAGAGAGAGAGAGAGAGAGAGAGAGAGAGAGAGAGAGAGAGAGAGAGAGAGAGAGAGAGAGAGAGAGAGAGAGAGAGAGAGAGAGAGAGAGAGAGAGAGAGAGAGAGAGAGAGAGAGAGAGAGAGAGAGAGAGAGAGAGAGAGAGAGAGACACTTGAACTGCCAGTTTATTGATATTTTGGCTCTATATTATATATGTAATAGTAATTAACCCTTAGGATAGGGAGGGACATGTATTACAGCCAGGCACTTATATTTGCAATATAAATAGTTAGGCTTTCATAAGGTATTATGAGCCAATGTTCATGTATTAGCAATTTATTCATTAATCTTTCTTCTTTATCTAATAAATGTGTTTATTCATTCACAACTAGGATGTTGCTGGGCCCAGCACAGGCAGTGTGGTCCCCTGGTCTTCTGTTACCAGTGCAGTGGGAAAGGATGCTAGGCTTAGCAGAGACAGCTCAGAGGTGAGTGCAGTGGAGGTAGGAAGAAAACAGAGAGAGACAGATGTACTGCCAGTTCCTTAATATGTTGGCTCTATATGCAATAGCAATTAACACAGACAGAGTGAGACAGAGACAGACTGCACAACAGAGGAGAACAAGGAGAATCACAGACAGACGGACAGACAGAGACAGAGTGAGGCAGAGACAGACTGCACAACAGGGTGGCAACAGAGGCACAGTTATAGTGATGAGTTGTATTTCCAGTGGTGCTTTTACATGTTGTATTTGTCTTAAACATGAGCTGGTTAAAAAAGGAGGAGGACTATGTTTCACCGGTCACTGGTACAGTAAAAGTTGAGAAACGCTGTACTATACCACATGTTAGTATATACAGTGCCTTCAGAAAGTATTCATACCCCTTAACAGGGATGTAGCTCAGTTGGTAGAGCATGGCGTTTGCAACGCCAGGGTTGTGGGTTCGCTTCCCACGGGGGGCCAGTATGAAAAAATATAAAATAATGTATGCACTCACTAACTGTAAATCGCTCTGGATAAGAGCGTCTGCTAAATGACTAAAATGTAAATGTAAACTTATTCCACATTTTGTTGTGTTACAAATGGATTAAATATATTTGTTCTCTCCCATCTACACACAATACTGCATAATAATAAAGTGAAAACATGTTTTTAGAGATTTGTGCAAATTAATTGAAAATGAAAAACAGAAATATCTCATTTACATAAGTATTCACACCCCTGAGTCAATACTTTGTAGAAGCAGCTTTGGCAGCGATTACAGCTGTGAGTATTTCTGGGTAAGTCTCTAAGAGCTTTCCACACCTGGATTGTGCAACATTTGTCCATTATTCTTTTCAAAATTCTTAGATCGCTGTCAAATTACCTTGACTAACCTGTACCCCCCCACATTGACTCGGTACCGGTACCCTCTGTATATAGCCTCGTTATTGTTATGTCATTTTCTTGTGTTACTTTTTTATTTAATTTTTATTTTTTTACTTTCTTTTATTTAGTAAATATTTTCTTAACTCTATTTCTTGAACTGCATTGTTGGTTAAGGGCTTCTAAGTAAGCATTTCACGGTAAGGTCTACACTTGTTGTATTCAGCGCATATGACAAATAAAATGTAATTTAATTTAATTTGAAATTAGTTATTGATCATTGCTAGAGAACCATTTGAAGTGGTGTTGGAGGGCCAGTAGGGGGCACTCTTCCCTCTGGTCTAAGGAGATCCCAATGCCCCAGGGCAGTGTTTGGGGACATTGCCCTGTGTAGGATGCCGTCTTTCGAATGCGATGTTAAACGGGTGTCCTGACTGTCTGTGGTCATTAAAGATCCCATAGCACTTATCGTAAGTGTAGGGGCGTTAGCCCCAGTGTCCTGGCTAAAATGTCCAGTCTGGCCCTCATACCATCATGGCCGCCTAATCATTCCCTGCATCCAATTGGCTCATTCATCCCTCTCCTTCCTTTCTGAGTATTACTATAGTGCCTTGTTGCAAACAGGATGTATGTTTTGGAATATTTTGATTCTGTACAAGCTTCCTTCTTTTCACTCTGTCAATTAGGTTAGTATTATGGAGTAACTACAATGTTATTGATCCATCCTCAGTTTGGGCCTATCACAGCCATTAAACTCTGTAACTGTTTTAAAGTCAATGAATTTTTGTCCCAGTCCGCCCCTTTTGAAACAAGAACGTTATTCTGCCCCCCCGTCACATCCTCTGGTCCATGGCGCGCGCTAAGTGACATTTGGCGCTGGAGTGTGTTCCCTTGACATGAACATTTGCAGACAGTGGAATAACTTTTTAATGATCTTGTTTTACATATATCGTTTAGCATTTTATGGATAATAATGTCGGATGAAGAACCGAAGGTCCCAGAAGAGCTCTTCAAAGATGTTAAATTCTACGTGGTCGGGGACATTGACCAAAAGGTGAAGAGCTCAACGTTAGCCAACCAATGTTTACCGATAGCCGGTTAATGGAGACGCTAACGACCAGTCTACTGTTTCAATTTCATTTCAAATTGATCATTTGTAACACGAACGGTTTGCGGATGTGCTGTTTGAATTAATACATTTATTGCGATTTACAAATAGATATGAAGTTGTCATTGATCCAGATGAGGTTATCTAACTACCGTCCGTAGCCAGCTGGATACTAGCTAGCGAGCTAGTTTTGCTAGCACATACCGGCTACCTAGCTTGTTAACCATTGTCCTGGCATTCTAGGGACTTTGTTATCCAATTTGCAATGCAGTTAGTTAGCAAGAAAAAACATAGACATTTCCTAATGTTTGCATTGTATATGTATGGATTAACATAGAACGAGATGGTTTGATAATCTATTGATGTGAGAGCCCCATCGTCTGCTTGCTGAATTGTGTGCCTGACATTGCGCATGTGCGAGAACATGCCCGCCATTGGAGAGCTGCACGTTCTAACTTCCTGCCAAATAATGCCTTACATTTGCTCTCCTGTAACTGTCCTGTAAATTGGGTATATTAACAATCCAATACGCCTTGAAAAATGTAATTGTTCCTCGACTGTGCTTCAAATAATTAATCCCACTGAGATTTATTTGGCCTATACCGTCAACCGTGCAATAGTTTTTTGTCATTTACTAATAAAGCTGCAATAAACAGTACCTTCTATTGATAACGTCAATTTCTTAACAGGCCACCCCATGATTTATGAATAACATATTAGATGCCTACTACCTTCCATTATCACACTTTGGTTTGAGACAGGATTTTACACATGGACTTATCATGTGCCTATAACTGGTGCAATCGACCCCAGGTGTTCTGTTTTGTTTCATTGGTGTGATTTCATGTGCACTTTAGGTTGTTCAGCTGCTGAAAGCGGGGAAAGGAAAGGAGGTCTCCTACAATGCCTTGGCTACACACATCATAGCAGAGGATGGGGATAACCCAGAGGTTGGGGAGTCACGAGAAGTCTTTGACCTTCCAGTTGTCAAGGTAAGGGTGTGAATTATAGATCCCGTTTATGTAGTCAATTCAATAACAAACCTGTAGCCTTGTTGGTGCGAAGGGAAGAAGAACAGTTCAACCATTAAACTCTGTTTTCTTTGTTTTTCAGCCGTCTTGGGTGACTTTGTCCGTAAGATGTGGAGACCTGCTACCGTAACCTTTCCATAAAAAATAATTTAACTAGCAATTGATTTATGTTTCTGATTTGATATTCTAACACTTTAGCTGAACGAATAGCCTAACACTTGAGTTGAATGACATCCTTGACAAAAGATAATACAGAGTTACAGGATTCTCCCCAGAGTCGGGACAAATATTCTTCGGTGTCACGGCATGTCTGCCAAAGGTATGTGCCCTTTCATATTACCTTTTTAACTATTATGCACATATCTATTAAATGGTTTATGGATTTATAGGATGAGTATTTTATAGAATGTTAACATCTTTCTCATGCATTTCTTTGTTTAGCTACCAGATGATCTCAACACTCTTTGGGCCTTGATCACATTTTATGGCGGTGACTGTCAACTCAACCTAAACAAGAAATGCACTCACCTGATTGTTCCAGAGCCAAAAGGGGTAATTATTTTTCAATTATATTCTGACATAAGACGTTGCTTTGTCATTCTTGTGTGATGGAATAAGTGTTTTTTTTAATGTAAAATAATTCCAATGCTCTCCTGACACAAAGGCAAATATAGGGGGAAAAACATGGAGCACATGGACAAATTGGTGAATTGGACAGTCTTTTGAGAAATAATGTCTGCATGTTGCTATTTTTAGGATCTTTTGAGGCCCCTGTTGAGGCCTTCCTTGTGTTGGACATTTTATTATCCTTGCTTTGGCTCTGGTATGTCTGATGGTTATTGCAGGAAGGGGATGTTTTGTTTTACTGCTGTCTTTGTGCTCAGGCACCAGGAGGTAGAGCCTGCCCTTAGCTTGTCTAGTCCTTGCTTAACCACTGAGAAATGCCTGAACACAACACATCTTTGTGATACTTCAGGTTGTATTTAACGAAACGATTAATCTAGACATCTGCCATATTGATAGATGTACTATGTTGGTCGGATGACACCAAAACACAAATTTTGCAGCAAGTTACACAGTAAAATATCGTACACCTGAACTGTATGTCTGTAGATCTATGGTGTAAATTGTGTGTTCCAGGAAAAGTACGAGGTCGCCCTGAAGCACAGCAGTATCAAAATAGTCACGCCGGAGTGGATCACAAACTCAGCGTTGGACAAGAGCAGGAAGGACGAGGCTCTGTACCACCCCCGGCTGACCTACCAGGAGGTGGAAGAGGATGAGGAGAGTGAGTATGAGTCGCTCTCCGAGGGCAGTTACAGCCCCCCAGGCCCCAGGTCCCGGAGATCCAGCTCATCCTCAAGAGAAGACTCCCCTGCTAGTGGCAGAGGAGGGACCTCGCCCAAAGCCCAGCGACGAGACGAGCTCATGTTCGACGACTCGGACGACTCTTCCACGGAGAAGGAGGAACGGAACCTGAACTGGACCCCAGTAGAGATTACCGGGCCCACCCCGGGTCCCAAACGCAGATTGCAGCCAGGGAAGGACTCTGGCCTGATCAACCTCTGTGCCAGCGTGCCCCCTGTGCCGGGCAGTGCAGGACCACCAGACGCCCGGGCTACCCTGGGACCCATTGGTGCCCAGCCGGGGGCAGAGAGGCCAGAGGGCATGGCAGGCTGGAGCCCAGCGGCCAGGACGCTACGGAACATCACCAACAACTCTGACATCCAGCAGACCACCAGACCCTCCAATGTTGCACATGTAAGAACACTGTCCTTTAATGTGCTCAAAAGCTTTATTTCTTGCTTAGTTTATTTTGCCTTAGTGGTGTAAAATACTTGGATGTCCAAGTTTCCTGGTCCATTTCTTAAAGCAGTGCTAAAATGTAAATTGTTTGGTTTCTTACCACAGATCCTACAGTCTCTCTCTGCCGCAACAAAGACATTGGAACAGCAGCAACAAACGAACCAGGGCCAGCCCAACGTCCAACCCAACCCGCTCCTGTTCAACCAAGCCAAGCCCCAAGGTCAGCAGCAGCTCACAGCCGAAGCACAGCAGCAGTTACTGCAGCAGCAGTCCCATCAGGTCCCCCAACAGCCACAACAACAGCCACAACAACAACACCCACCACAGCAGCTTCCACAGCAGCAGCACCCCATGCTTCAGCATCCCCCACCACAGCAACTCATGCAGTTGCACCAACAGCAGGTTCCTCAACATGGTTTCCCTCCTCAGTTGCCACAACAACAGGCCCATCAATTCATCCAGCAGCAGCAGAAGCAGCCACAACAACAGCAGATCCACCAACAACAGATCTTCACCCAGCCACAACAACAGCAACCTCCACATGCATTCTCGCAGCAACAACTGCGACCGCAGCAGCTCCCCCGGCCTCCCATACAGCAGCAGCATGCTTTACAACAGCAGTTACAGCAGCACCGGCTCCAGTTACAGCTCCAACAGAACCAGCAGCAGCAGCAGCAGCAGCAACTCCATCAACAACACCTCCAACAGCAGCAGCATTTCCTGCAGCAACAGATGCAGCAGCAGCACATGCAGCAGCTTCAACAGCAGCAGCAGCATCTCCAGAGCCAGCAGCAGTCGCTGCAGCAGCATCCGAGCCAGCAGCCGCAGCAGCAGCAGCAAGGATCACTACAGCCTCAGCTCCAGCCTCCTCAGGTGCACCAGCTGTTTGGCCACGAGCCAGGCCAAGAGAGTAAGTTCACTTGACTAGCATACAGATTTCAGTCGGTTTCACTTTTATTTCAGTTCATTACAAAAAAATACACTAGAAAGATACATCAAAATACATGAAACAATCGTGGTCGGATTAAAGACATCCAATAATCATCATTAGGTTTTTAATGGTTGTGGTTATGATTTGTTTGACTAACCAATCGTCTTTCTATTTGCTGCTGTAGTTCCAGAAGATGGCTTCTTGGTGGGCTGTGTGTTTGCTATCGCTGACTACCAAGAGCAGATGGCAGACAAGCAGCTCCTAGCCACGTGGAAGAGAGTAAGAGTAAAACTTTGTATTTTCATGAACTTATCTTGTATCTGAGCAAACAGCATTATAACTGCATTTGTTCACCTACTCTTTTGCACCTTGCATTGCTGAGTTGTATTTTGTGAATCACAGATTATCCAGGCCTATGGTGGAATTGTGGACTCCTCTCTCAACAACCGCTGCACTCACCTGCTCTGTGAAACTCAAGTCAGCAGCATGTATGTCCAGGTAAGCATCACTAAATCGTTTTTCATCTCAGCTAAAAGGCTTGTTTGAAGGACAAAAACTGTTTGTGTGTGTGTGTGTCAGTTAGATTTTAAATGTAGTCTCTCTTGTTGCTGTACCTCAGGCCCTTCGGGAGGGGAGGCGCTGTGTCACTGCCCACTGGCTGAACACCATCCTGAAGAAGAAGAAGATGGTTCCTCCTCACAGAACCCTACACCTCCCCTTCGCCTTCCCACCTGGAGCCAAGCCATGCTCACAACACGTACGCATCACTTCCTCTTTATCGCACCCCATTCAAAACATCTAACATGGGTTGGGAACTGCTGTCATATGTTTTTAATTTGAAACGATGGCACAATGATACATTTTGCATGGGTGTATCATGAGGTAATGACTAGACTTGCAAGCCTATGACTCAGAAATAGAGCTTATAGCTTAGCTTCTATAGTAAGTCCATTGACATTCCTATCATTCTCTCCCCAGATCATCTCCGTAACTGGCTTTGTGGACTCGGACCGTGATGACCTGAAGCTGATGGCCTACCTGACAGGAGCCAGATACACAGGCTACCTCTGTCGTAGCAACACCGTTCTTATCTGTAAAGAGTAAGAGGAGACCTTGATATGCTCTCAACTATTTAGAATGGCATGTAAATGTTGTAGACACAATCAATCATTGGCGTATTCATGTTTGTGTGGATGGGTGTCAGGTTTAATTAATGTGTGTGTTATGCTTGCTTCATGTCCGTTTTATACTACTGTAGGAATCCCATCTATTAACCCTTTCTCCCCCCTGTCTCTTCAGGCCCAGTGGTCTGAAGTATGAGAAGGCCAAGGAGTGGAGGATCCCCTGCGTCAACGCCCAGTGGCTCTGTGACATTCTCCTGGGGAACTTTGAGGTCCTCCGGCAGGTCCAGCACAGCAGATACTCCAACTTCAACCTGCAGGAACCACTCATCCCCAACCAGCATCTGGTTCAGAACCTACTGGGTACGGGGTTCAGAAGTCTTACATTGGGGGCAAGGGGACTTTATATGGGGAATTTTTGGTAAGATGGACAAACGTCTATTAAACGTAGGTGTAATTTTAGGTGCTTGGCGGGCTCCTGTGAAGGTTTCACCTGGTGCGTTGGCGGCATTGCAGTTGCAACAGAAGCAGAAACGGTCTGAATCAAACTCCCTGCATCCAAATAAGAAGCCAAGGTGAATCTCTCAATCACCCTAGTTTTCACATTAGTGTATAGCACAGTATGTGAAGATTAATTAGGCAATCTGCAGAGTTTCTTATTAAAATATTTCATTCTAAAAATAAAAAAATCTTTGTATATAGGGATACAACTAAAGGTTTATCTCCCAATGACCCAAATATTCTCTCAATTGTAGACTTGAGGAGATCGAAGCCCCAACCAAGAAGCTTCCACCAGAATCCACACCGTACATTTTCTTCACTGGCTTTGAGCCAACACAGGTCCAACAATTCATGAAGGTAATTGGTATTTCTATGTCTATGCACAGCTGAGCAAGAGTCTGCAGGAAATAGCCATCGTTGTGAATGACTGTTGGCAAGTATATGAATCATCGATATTTAGCTAAACGTTTTACAGGATCACATCCGATTCTCAGCGCTCTCGGCCTCTAACAATGCATCCGATGTCCCATTCTGTCTGTTCAGAGGCTGCACAACCTTGGAGGGGAAATCGCAGAGAGTGCTCAGAAGTGCACACATCTGGTGGCCAACAAGGTGACGAGGACGGTGAAGTTCCTCACGGCAATGTCCATTGTCAAGCACATAATCACCCCTGAGTGGTTAGAAGAGAGCTGGAAGAGCAAGAAGTTTGTTGGTACGTTAAAGCTAGAATCCCTAATTGAAACAATAACAAAGCGTCACCTCGCCTTTAGTCAAAAAGCTGAGGGATATGCCTGAAGAAATGTAACCACTCTCAAATTCACAGACCGCGCTATTGATGCAAGGACTAACCAGCCATTATATGAAACATATAGTTTTAACCATGTTTTAAGGGTATAAACGATTTGTTTATTTTGGGTTCTGATGAGGTACGACAGTTGAACTAAGTTCATGAGACATTTATGTTCAAGAATCAAGGGTACATATCATAAAGTCCCAAAATTGATGTAGCAACTAAGGATTCTTGCTTTAAGTTGGCATTCAGTTATTAGATAATGGATCAGTGGGAGGGAGTTTCATGTTTGAGATACTGTTGTGATGTCATCCTTTTTGTGTGTAGCTTTTTAGAGAGTATATGTTCTTAGAGGGAGTCTGATTGGCTTTAGAGTATGTGTGCATTCTTTAGAGTATGTGTCTGTTCATTCAGATGAGCAGAACTACATGCTGAGAGATGCAGAGGCAGAGGTGCTGTTCGGCTTCAGTCTGGAAGAGTCACTGAAGAGGGCCCACACTGCACCACTCTTCAAGGTTAGTGATACCATGCACTTATGGAATCTATCCCCTATGTCTATCAGCCTGGACAGTGGACACCCATGTGTGCATATTTGGAAATATTTAATTGAATTGTTCTGTTGAGTCATCAGATTGTGATAGTCAATATGTCTGATTGGATGCATTAGATACCCAACTGTCTCTTAAACATGTCTTCTGTTTTCCTTTCCCTCCCTAGGGCAAGTATTTCTATATTACCCCTGGGATCTGTCCCAGCCTTACTACTATGAAAGCCATCATAGAGAGCGCAGGAGGCAAGGTGCTCCCCAAGCAGCCCTCCTTCCGCAAAATAATGGAGCACAAGCAGAACAAGGTACTGATCATGTCCATATATGCACAGCATTGTTTTAACTGTGTACTTGAAGAATGACAGAGGTGGTCTTTTATTACTGAACTCATGGAATATTTTCTGTTATTTTCAGTACCTTCCTGAGATCATCCTGATATCCTGTGAGAATGATCTTCATCTATGTAGAGAGTACTTCTTGAAGAACATTGGTAAGAGGAACACGTCAATGTGTACATGTGCTTTGAATGTGGCCGATTGTTACGACATCCTGTTTTGACTCGAGGCTAAACCTACCTCTTGTCTCCCCTGTTTCTTCGTTACAGACATTCACAATGCTGAGTTTATATTGACTGGAGTATTGACACAGAACTTGGATTATGAATCATATCCTTTTAAATGCAAGAGGAATGGCCTCCCACAGTGATAAGTAGAAAATAATTATAATTTGGACCACAACTTAGCCCAAAAATAGATTGTATTTTCAAATACAATAATTTCATACCTTGATTACATTGACACTTTTTTTATTTGTGGGAATACTTGGGAACAGATTTCCTAAATTAAACAAATGTTTTTCTGAATTCCCGGTGATTTTAGTAGTTTTTTTAAACCATTGGAGTAAAACAAGCTTATATTTTGGTTTCTGATGGAGTATGACAGTTGAACTAACCTCATTTATAAGTTAAATTCTCCAAAAATTGACAATTAAGGATTCTATATTGAAAGCCCTGCTCACCACTCCTTAACAATCTCACAAATAAATTCACATGATGGCAAAGACCAAGGAGGAGAAGACAAGATCGACAGGTCCTGTACTGGAGGAAATGATGAAGGCTGAAACAAGTTGCAATGTACAGTCACACTGCTCTTGATATTTTTTACCCTGTGAATAGATCATTGTCGTTTTGTAGCTTTTTGTAACAATCGTTAATAATACATACAGAAATTGATGTTATTTTTGTGGACTGAATGTTTAAATTATGGATTGGTTTTAATTTTTTTAATTGTATTGTTAAAAGGTTCCAGCAATTATTCAACACTTTTGGAATAAAATCAGAACTTTGTTGTCAAAATGAATCTTACATTTCTTTGCTTTCTCACAAATATTCCTATTTAGATATTCATGGTACAGTCCCAAAACTCTTATGTCAGGAGGCAAATTTACAATCACAAAACAAGAAGCAGAGTTTGTGTTTGTTTCATGTATTGAACCAAACTGCACTGACTACCAAAAGCACTGCACTGACCAGCTTTCCCGTTTTCACTGACATATTCAATCAGCCTGAATGACTACAAACCTGTATCGCTCACCTCGGTCATCATGAAAACCTTTGAGCACCCGGTCCTGTCCCATTGCAAAACCACCATCGAAGGCCTCCTTGACCCCGGCAGGTAGCTTAGTGGTTAAGAGCGTTGTGCCAGTAACCGAAAGGTCGCTGGTTCTAATCCCAGAGCCGACTAGGTGAAAAATCTGTCGATGTGCCCTTGAGCAAGGCACTTAACCCTAATTGCTCCTGTAAGTCGCTCTGGATAAGAGCGTCTGCTAAATGACAAAAAAAAAAAAAAAAAAATGTTCACCTACAGAGCCAATAGGACTGTTTGTGGACTTTGCCGTCCCAAGGACATACAAGAGGATATTGTTTGTGGACTTTAGCTCAGCCTTCAACACAATCATTCTGGACCTGCTACAGCACATACTCACCCAGCTGACTGTATCGGACTCTATCTGCCCGTGGATCACTGACTTCCTGTTAAGATGGGAAAACATATTTCAGACTCCCTATCAGCACAGGGTTGCATGCTCTTCCCCCTCTACTCTACACCAATGACTGCACCTCCAATGACCCATCTGTCAAACCACTCAAGTTTGCTGATGACACCACCCTGGTCATCCAAGTAGAAAGGTTGGTGGCCTGGTGCAGTCGCAACCACCTAGAACTCAACACAGTCAAAACCGTGGAGATGGTGGTTGACTTCAGGAAATGCCCCCCCACCATCTCTCCCCCTTGAGATTGATTGCTCAGCTGTCAGCACAGCCAAGTCATTTACATTTAAATTCCTTGGGACCATCATCTCTCACAACCTCAACTGGGAGGACAACATCACAGTAGTGACCAAGAAGGCTCGACAGAGGATGTGCTGTCTGCGCCAGCTGAGGAAACTCAAACTCTCTGACAGTTCGGTTCTATACGTCCATTGTCCATCCTCACTTCTTCTATCACCATCTGGTTTGGGTCTGCCCGCTGCAAGGGCAAACTGCCGCACATCATCCGGTCTGCGGAGAAGTTCATAGGCTGTCACCTGCCCACCATCAAGGACCTGCACAGCTCCAGGACAAGGAAGCATGCAGGTACGATCATTTCCTACCCTGCCCATACCGGACACCCCATCTTTCAAAGACTCTGCTCTGGCAGACAGTTTAGGTCAATCATGACCAAAACCGCCCTCCACCTGGACAGTTTCTTCCCCCATGCTGTGGCCCTCATCAACCGGCCATCGGGCTCATAGGGATTAAGTGACTTTTCATTGGGCCTTTTACTGCAAATACTAATCTACACTATACTGCATTTGCATTATGCACACCTCCTGTCCTCCGCACAACACTGTATATGCACTGTGAAGGCTCCCTCTGCTTATATAGATAGGAATTCCCACTGCAATCAGCCTAAACTCCAGTGTTTTGTTTACTGTACCGATACTGTATATTCTGTATGATGGACTTGTGTCTAATCTGTTTGTATATTGTCTATTGCTGCCAGCACCTACACAATAAAGCAAATTCTGGGTATGTGTAAATGTACAGTACTTGGTGAATACAGGTGATTCTGAAAATGAACATGGTCTCTCCTCTTGATCTTACTTTTAAGACATAATTCCTCAAAGACTTGATTTAATTAATTGTTAATGATGTATTAAAGTAGTTAATGGTGTTAGAAAATTGCTTGCTGTCAGACAAGTGCCTGGAGTTATCTCTTGGTCCCTCTGGTGAGTGAATAGCCTGAGGTGATGCCCTCAAAAACACTCAATTGAATTAGTGCCTCAGCCAAGGTCGTGTGCCAGATACGCTGTTGGGAAGCTGATCATGTATAGTACATTGTTGCCAAAGAAGTTGATGTTTGGAAATCTGTTGGTGCATTGTTGATTTTAGTTTTTGGTTTATAAATATGGTTTGTGTCATATTAGATATCCTGTACTGTACACAATGCTAATATCTTCTACTGACATTATATACTTTACTTTTGAATAACCTTCATTTTGCGTACAGGTATTACTAATAACCTTGATATGCATATTGTCTGGACCCATGTGTAACTATGGACAAGAGACATTCTTTCTTGAGGCCCTTGGGCTTTAAGAAATCTAGCACTGTACAGGGATTCATAGTCATCTAAAAATAAACCTAGCTCTAATCAAACAAAGGATGTACCAAATCAGTAATAACGGAATTAGGCTACAAGAGGAAAGATCCATAGTCCATTGAATAAAAAAATAGCAAAGATAGAGGATACCTACAGTATGATGAATAGGTACTAGTTATTATTGAACCAAAATAAATGTATATATATGCCAGAGCTTACAATCAGTGCCCTCCTCAAATGAATTGCATAAAGCATCTGGACTTAAAGAGTATATTGCACCCACTTTCATTTTGATTTAAGTGAAGTCAGCATTAGTGGGACATCAGGTGTAGTGGCACATTTGTGTTTGAGGGTGCTGTAATATGGTAATTTAGCAAACTAACCACAACAAATGTTATTGGGTTGTTGCTGCATGTGTTCTGTGGGTTGGTTAGTATGACTTTACTGTAATGTGTGTGTGTGTTCAGGTTTCTTAGATGGGGTGACCCTTGAAAATCAACCGGCGTACTATGAAACCTTGCACTAGAATGATAATTCTGTCAATTATAATTTTACAATCTAGCTTTTGGTGATAAAATGAATAGTTATTGATAGTGTTTTAGAATATGATAACCATTCATGTAAACAGCTTTTATATTGTATAAAATGTAGATTTATAGTACTGTCCCACTTCCCCTGAATGGTGTTAGAATTGTGGGACAGGGACCTTTTAAGCTATAGAAATTCACTAAATAAACCTTTAATCAATTTAAATGTAATTTCCTTCATTAGATATTCTAATCGATAAAAGACAGTACTGTGCTGCTGACTTCATCGACCTGACCAAGGCTTTCGACTCTGTCAATCACCGCATTCTTATTGGCAGACTAAATAGCCTTGGTTTCTCAAATGACTGCCTCGCCTGGTTCACCAACTACTTCTCAGATAGAGTTCAATGTGTCAAATCGGAGGGCCTGTTGTCTGGACCTCTGGCAGTCTCTATGGGGGTGCCACAGGGTTCAATTCTCGGGCCCACTCTATTCTCTGTGTACAGTGGGGGAAAAAAGTATTTAGTCAGCCACCAATTGTGCAAGTTCTCCCACTTAAAAAGATGAGAGAGGCCTGTAATTTTCATCATAGGTACACGTTAACTATGACAGACAAATTGAGAAAGAAAAATCCAGAAAATCACATTGTAGGATTTTTTATGAATTTATTTGCAAATTATGGTGGAAAATAAGTACTTGGTCACCTACAAACAAGCAAGATTTCTGGCTCTCACAGACCTGTAACTTCTTCTTTAAGAGGCTCCTCTGTCCTCCACTCGTTACCTGTATTAATGGCACCTGTTTGAACTTGTTATCAGTATAAAAGACACCTGTCCACAACCTCAAACAGTCACACTCCAAACTCCACTATGGCCAAGACCAAAGAGCTGTCAAAGGACACCAGAAACAAAATTGTAGACCTGCACCAGGCTGGGAAGACTGAATCTGCAATAGGTAAGCAGCTTGGTTTGAAGAAATCAACTGTGGGAGCAATTATTAGGAAATGGAAGACATACAAGACCACTGATAATCTCCCTCGATCTGGGGCTCCACGCAAGATCTCACCCCGTGGGGTCAAAATGATCACAAGAACGGTGAGCAAAAATCCCAGAACCACACGGGGGGACCTAGTGAATGACCTGCAGAGAGCGTGAGATTTTGAGTGAAAACCTCCTTCCATCAGCAAGGGCATTGAAAATGAAACGTGGCTGGGTCTTTCAGCATGACAATGATCCCAAACACATCGCCCGGGCAACGAAGGAGTGGCTTCGTAAGAAGCATTTCAAGGTCCTGGAGTGGCCTAGCCAGTCTCCAGATCTCAACCCCATAGAAAATCTTTGGAGGGAGTTGAAAGTCCGTGTTGCCCAGCGACAGCCCCAAAACATCACTGC